GATGCCTTTGTGTATTCTTTAAGTTACTGGTTGGGCACACACTCTCCCCACTGCTTGCTTATTTTTGTTTTCTCTTCTGCAACCGCTGACGCCTAGCTAGCAAATTACTTCAATGATAGCCTTTGCATGAGCATATTTCATTGCCCTGTAGTGCTGTTTAAGATGCGTTGAACTGTAAATCCTTGCCTTATGGTGGGAACTAAGTAAAAGGTCAGGCTGGCTAGATAGACCTGTGGCACAGACATGTCTTCCCAGCTGCTTGGGAGACCGAGGCAGAAGGGGCTACAAGTTCAATGACCAGGTTTAAAGTGAAAGGTGGGCTGAGAGGTAGCCCAGCCACTGTGCTTCCCACACTGGCAGTCATTGGCTCTCCAACGTCAGGGTTGCGATAAAAACTGTCCTGCTCTGTTTGAATGCTGTATAAGTAAGAAGCCACAGACTGAGAAGAGCCCATGAGTGTGCTTGGCCACTACTGTGGGCCATCGCCAGGCTTGTCTGACAGCAGAGCAGCCACATCTCCTGGGGCGGGCGGGGGGGGGTGGTTGGGGTTGGGGCTGGAGCTAGAAACCTCCTCTGCAAAGGGAAGACTGGTAGTGTGGTAATAGTGTGTTTTTGGTGGAGGGAGCACCGTTCCTGAAGGCCTTTTCCTTTTAACCCTCAAAGGGCAAGGCTGAGTTAGAGATATCAGTTGACTGCTTTGGACAGTGCTCAGATTTGAACTCCTTTTCTCTTCTGTAGATAGGAGCTGATTGAGTGGGAACGTGGACTTGTGGAACAGCAGAAAGAAAGCAATCATTGAAATCTGTGTGCCACAGAGAGCAGTGGCAATGGTTTGTGTGCAGCTGCAGCGGGGAGGCTGCCGTGTGTGTGTGTGGGGGGGGGGGGCTGAGGCTTTCCTGGAGAAGTTGACCTTAGCGGGTGAGATGGAGTGAGTGATCAGTACAACCTGTAACCTGCCAGGCCTGTACCTAGGGCTAGCTTCCTGTGTTGGCCACACTGAAGGTTGCAGACGCCTGCTGGTCTGCCTGGTGCCCATCGTGGGTACAGGGGTGCCTTGTTTTCTCTGTGGGCCACCTTTCTCAAGGCCTTTTTTGTTGTGCTTTCTTTTGAGAGTGCTGTGACTTGTTCTCACTGCATTCGGTTGATGGGATAAATGAAGGACACACATCTGGGCAGAAGAGTGCACTAGGCCCTCCTAGTAATTTAGCACACATGTTTAAAATTTTCAACTTGCTTTGTTAGGCTGTTTAATTGTAGTTGGAGTTCTTGTGAGCATATTATCTTAACTGAGGAGACACAGCACCCATTCACATTTACAGAGGGCTGAGAGCAAGGCACTCAGAATGGTCCTGTGTAAAGAGGACCTGGGATATTTTCCTTTCCATCCGCTTCTAGTTTGGGTTATAGTTTCAGAGATCTGGTTAAATGAGTTTTTAAAGAGTAGACAATTGTCTTTGAAAATTGAAATGTCAGATTAAAAGTACTTCATTATGAACTTGCCTTTTTAACTCCTGATGGAGATAGAGGAGGTGAAAGCCAGTCGACTTCCCTTTTACTGACTCGTCCCTCAGGCATCTGCCGTGTTGAGTACAGCGTGTGGTTTTAAGGTCGCTGAAGCTGAAGTTTTCTCTATGGACCTGGGGTGGGCTTGAGCACTACCAGCAGTGAGTATCAGCGCTGGTTCCATGGTGTGCCACACAGTATCAACCCTTCTCACTGAAGACATCTTCTTACTCCAACTGCCTTTCTTCCTTCCAGTGTTGGGGATTAATCCTAGGATCTTGTGTAAGCTAGGCAAGTGCTCTGTGGTCCAACTCACTGCATCAGCAGCCCTTCTGGGTTCCCTCAAAGGAGACAGAATGCTCGTGGAGTTCTAGGTCTTTGTCAACTCTGATGGGCATCTGACACACTGACTTGTTTTGTACCTGGGTCAGCTCTTCTCTGGGCCCTGCTGGCTTCAGCCTCCTAACCCGAACCCAGCTGTGTTCCTCCCCCTGAGGTGCTTGTGAAATGGAGGCTGGCTCTTGCTGCTCTGGAGAGACCAGACACATTTTGTGTAGTTGTTCAGTAATGATATTCACATAGGCTGTTGATGGATGCTTTTCCTTCTCTCTTTCTCCTTTAAAGTTTGGTTTTATATGTGTGTTATTTTTGCTTTCATGCATGCATGTATGTTTACGCACCATGTATGTACCTGGTACCCACAGAAGTCAGAATAGGTAATCCCCTAAAACTGGAGGTACCTGATGGTTGTGAGCCACTATGTGGGTGCTAGAAATTGAACCTGGGTGCTCTATGAAAGCAGACAGTGCTCAAGGTTGATTCATCTCTCCAGCCCCTCTTTCTCCTTTTTTTGAATAAAAAATTCACAATAGACTGCAGGCTGCCTCTGAGCTTGCAATCCCAAATCATTTTTCCAATGTGGAATTAAACTCACGTAACACTTTGCCTGCCCCGACAGATTAAAAAAAAAAAAAAAGATTTTAAGTATATGGTGAGTTCTTCTGCCTGTACCTACACCTGTGCTCACATCTGTCTTTAACCCCTTCCCTCCTTTCCTTGTTTGTTTCTTTTTAATGCCCTAACAAAATAGTCACTGTAGCCCAAGGGTCTTTATCTGCTTTTAATGAAAGGTAGGTGTTTTTGTTTAATCTGGAGTTTAGCAAGTAGTTACTGATATGAGAATTACCTTAGCACTTATTGTTATGGAATGTTTGATGTCCCTTTAGGAGGAGGAGGTTTGCTTAAAGTAGTGTGTATTGTAGATGACTTTTTTTTTCTTTTGTACCAGAAAGCTATGCAGTAATATGTCTGTTTCCTGGGAAGTGAGGATGGCTCCACACCATTAAGTATTTACTACTGAAGAACGTTCAGGAATCTAATTGACAGTGGTTCTCAGGCATCTTTTTTTTTAAAGATTTATTTATTTATTATGTATACAGTATTCTGCCGGTATGCGTACCTGCAGGCCAGAAAAGGGTGCCAGATGGTTGTGGGCCACCATGTGATTGCTGGAAATTGAACTCAGAACCTCTGGAAGAGAAGTCAGTGCTCTTAACCTCTGAGCCATCTCTCCAGCCTCCTCAGGCATCTTTTATGTTTCTATCAAAACACAATAGATTATAACTAACCATGGCACAATTTTCCAGTTTTTAAGAAATACTACTTATAGGTGAGTGGTGCTGAAGCACACCTTTAGTCCCAGCACTGGGGAGGCAGTGGCAGGCGAATCTCTGTGTGTTCGAGGCCATCCTGGTCTACAGAGTGAGTTCCAGAATAGCCACATCTATTACACAGAGAAACTGTCTGGAAAAACAAAAAACAAAACAAAAAGAAAAATACTGCCTATTGACAGATTTATATAGAACCAGGGTAGTATTTCAGACTTGTAGATTTATTTTGTTTCTGTTATTCATTCTTAACTCAATTAGTACATTGTTGGCTGTGTTGTGTTGTTATGAGCCTTAAGCCCAGTGTGATGGCTTACATGTGTACTCCCAGCTACTTGGGAGACTTGGCAACAGATCAGAGTCCAGGGATTTGAGGCCAGTCTGGACAATATAATGAGGTCCCATATAGAAAACAAATAAATAATTAACAATTTCTGTCTCTCTGTCCCCTCCCTCCCTATGCTTGTTGGCCTTACAAAATGTGGCAAACTCTCATTGTAGCCATTCAGTCTAATTTTGGCTTCCTTGCTGACTGGTGTTTATTTTGTAGATCTTTTACCTGGTGTAATTTGTGAGTTACATCTCTAATTTATATTGTGTTTTATATGTAATTGTGATGAGGTAATTTCAGTTCACAGAGAAGTAGATTGTACTTGGAAAGGGGAGGCTCAGTTGGTTTTTTTTTTTTAATTCTACACTGGCTAGCCGCACTGCTGAGACAAGCTATTTAATCTGTTAGGGCATTGGTTTTCATAGCTGTCAAATTGAGAGAACAGTCACCCTGCTTGCTTCTCAGGGTTATTCTCATGTGAAAATGGAGCTCTGTGATGCTGTGTTTTGGGAACTTCACAGTGATAAATAATGCGGGCATGCGGTTTTTCAGTCGTGTCTGTCCTTACATAAAACAAGGTGTGCCTCCGTGGTAGTAGGGTGACAAATGGTCCTTGGATTCAGGCTCCTGCTCACAGCTTTGGTGTCTTCAGTGTGTGGTAGTTGTTTGGAAGGTCTCATTGTGCTCACAATGGCTACTGTAGCCATAGCTGCCTCAGCCCAATTCTTTAGATGGCTATGACTCAATGTGCCTCAGATTGAACTGTCATTTATCTACCATGAGATAAACGCAGAAATGCAGAGTAAGTGATTAGAAACTGCTAAAAACGCGGATCTCTGTGAGTTCGAGGCCAGCCTGGTCTACAAAGCGAGTTCCATGACAGCTTCCAAGACAATACAGAGAAACCCTGTCTCGAAAAACCAAACCAAAACAAAACAAAAACAGTTGGTTCTAGCCGGGCAGGGGTGGTGCACGCCTTTAATCCCAGCACTTGGGAGGCAGAGACAGGCAGATCTCTGAGTTTGAGGTCCGCCTGGTCTACAGAGCAAGTTCGAGGACAGCCTCCAAACAATACAGAGAAACCTTGTCTCAAAAAACCAGTTGGTTCTCCTGCAGGGTTTTGATCGTACTTTTAAAAGCATTGCTTTGCAGTGGACTCTGGCTCTCCGCAGACATCTAGCTAAAGGCATGGGAGACAGGCCAGAGCTTGAGTGTTGATATGGCTCTTTCCCAATACTGTAGGAGCTCTGTCCCTGGGGGAAATGGTGGCTGAGTGAGGAAGCAGCACTGCCATGATGGAGTTTGTGTTTAGCTGGGTCCTGCTGCCTCCCTTCAGTCCCACATGAACACACTGAGGCTTTTTAAAATTTTTTATTTTATTATTTTAATTTTAAATAGCTTGCTTCACATGTCAGTCCCAGTTCCCTCTACCTCCCCTCCTCCCCACACTGAGGCTTATATTAAACTGTTGGCCAATGGCTCAGGCTTCTTATTGGCTAGCTCGCTCTCAATTATTAACCCGTTTCTATTATCTATGTATCTCTGTAGTCTTGGCTGGCTGGAGAATGACTAGACCTCTTGTTCCCTTAGCAGCCACAAGGCGTCTCCTCACAGCTCACTTCTGCACCCCTCTTCCCAGAATTCACCTATCCTTTCAGTCTGCATTTATTCAGCAACCAGTAAGAGAAACATATTCGCAGCACACAGAAGGACACCCCCATCAGCACAGTGTGCTGTTATTGGACCATTCAGCGCAGAACTAGATCCCTAAACACAACCCTCTACCTAAATAGTAATGACCCCAGGAGTTGAAGCCATTTCTGAGATTTGAGAAACTTTATCTCACACAAAGAACATGCAGGAAGTACTAAAAGCCGAGTCACATAAGAGACTGCGTGGTTTGTTTGCGTAAATTAGTATTTTCAGCAGATTTTATTATCTGTTTATTTTCATGACTTAGAACTAAAATTATAGTTTGCCTTCATCAGCTAATATGAATTATTTTTATGCAGGTAAGATATGAAAAGATGACTTTCAAAAGGTTTGAAGTGGACAGGAGCCTCTTGTAACTGTGCATGAAATGCATATAAGATGAAAGTCGTTAGGGTGAGTCTAAAGACCATCTGAACACAGTGCTGCTGAGATCCCAGCCCTCAAGAGATGCACTAGAAGGTTCGTGAGTTCAGTACCAGCCTAAGCTACATTGTGAGGATCTGTCTCAAGCAAAAAAACCAAACAAACAAAAAGCCCAACAAGGGTATGGCCTGATGCTGGACCACACGGCTATGGAGTATTTGTGCTTGTTAGCATCTTTTGCTGCTGTGCACAGTGCCTCTGTGGTGTCTGGCTCCAGCTGAAATCTGAGGTGTTTTAGTTGTCAATACCAAGGTGTTTGATCAAGAATCTTGTGTCATCTGAATTTACTGTTTGTACAGTGCCTACACCCTCTGCATTTCCTGTATGTTAGAGGCAAGATCCAGATGTATCTTAGGTCTGGTCTGAGCCAAATTGTAGTTAGTTGTCTCAGTCACTGTTCTCTTGCTGTGAAGAGATACTGTAACCATGGCAACTCTTAGAATTGGTTTATAGTTTCAGAGTTTTAGTCCATTGTCCTCATGGAGGAGATGTGGCAGCTGTCAGGCAGATGTGGTGCTGGAGAAGGAGCTGAGGGTTCTGCATCCTGATCCACAGGCCGCAGGAAGGAGAGAAAGACAGTCACTAGTCCTGGCTTGGGCTTGTAAATCCCAAAGCCCACTCCCAGTGACACACACTTCCTCCAAAAGGCCACACCTCTTATGAGTGCTGCTCCCGAGTGACCAAACATTTAAATCCTAGAGCCTTTGGGCCATTTTTATTCAAACCATTATATTAGTGTACTACATTGTTTTCACAAGCCACGTAATATCAGATTTTTTTCCTGTCCACCTTTTCCTCAGGAGTTGCAAAATTGTAAGTCTATTTCATTTTCACTTACTAGCTGGAGTGAGTTTTTGTGGCAGTGCTCCTGCCAGCCGCCATTCTTAACCCAGGTGCACACTTTCTGTAGGCAAGACGTGTGAAGACTGTCTCTCCCCTTTATTTGTGAAGTTTCCAAATGCTACATTAGTACTTGCAATCCTTACTCCTTAGGGATGCCAGATTGCCCCATCATTGGGTGCCTGTTGGAGTTGGTGCCCGAGTCCTTTTTGATTTGACCTTGGAGTTTGACAGTTTTTTCTTGACAGTATGTGTAGGTATTCCATCTCACACATGCCTACTGCAGAACCACCCTGTCCATGAAACTTTCTAGTTTCTTTGACTGGGAAATGATATTTCAAAAGCATAATCTAGTTTGGGTTTTGTGGCTTCTGGGTTGATGTGCACATGAACAGTGTGAAAATGCATTTGCTTTCTGGGCAGACCTCCAGGGAGGGACTTGACGTTAGGATGACACCCTCACTCCAGCCTGAGGTCGCAGACAACTCATGGCAGAGCTATCTCCTCTGTCTCCTTTTCCTACAGAACAGCATGTAATAACTACTGATATTGGTGCTATTGTTCAAAATTCTTAGAACTATAATAGAAAAGGTTCAGCCAGGCAGGATATGGTGCGCACCATACCCAGCAAAGCCATGTTTTCATTTGATGTGGAACATGGTCGTCAGAGTCCAGTGACGATTTCTTTCTCTTACAATTCATGTTGCTTTCCCCTAGGTGCCTGCATTTCCCCAGCTCTAGTGATGGTAGTAGAGAACGTCGGGGATGATCTTAAACTTCTGATCTTGCTGACTGCGCAGGGACTACAGTCAAGCACAGAAAAGCCCTCACCCACCCTTTCCTCATCCTTCTCCCTTTCACTTTGATTTTTTTAAATTTCTTTTTTGGGGGGCGCTGTGCAGGTGTTGTCCAACGATAGGATCACACCACCACATCTGGCTGTTTTGTTCTGTGCTCCTTTTTTAAAAATAAAAGCTATTACTATTATTTTTGAGTGTTGTGCACGTGACCTATGAGACAGCATGCACATCAGCTAAGAGGACAACTTAACAGAAGTCAGAAATTTTCTTCCTTCAGTTTTTAAAAAATTTCTGTTTATTTTTGTTGTTGTTGTTGTTTCTGGTATTTCTAAGTGATTTTTTTGCTTTGTTTCTAATGTAGGCTCCTTGCTGTGTGAGGCCATCTATTTGAGTGTCTTTGTTTTGAAGTTGTGTGTTGTATTTATTTCTGTTATCATGTTTGCACACTGCACATGGTTTCCTTTCTTATCAGCACGTATACTGTTCTGCTCTTTGTTTTTTGTTTGTTTGTTTGCTTGCAGGTACATTAGCCTCTATATTTTTGCTCTTTTAAAAATTATTAGTTACTGATTTTATTTTATTTTACTTTGGGAAATAATTTCACTGTGTAGCCCAGATTAATTTACAGTCTTCAGCTCCCCAGGAGCTGAGCTTACTGATCTTCTCTGTAACTCCACATTTCTCTTGGTCCCTTTTTTTTGGTAAACTTAATTTTCCTAAATTTTTAGATCAGTGTGGTTGAGTAATACAATTCCTTTTAATCTAGTTGCTTTTGTGTTGTTACTTAAGAAACAAACAAACAAAGCCAACTGGTAGTGACATACTCCCTTAATCCCAGAAGCAGAGACTGGAAGATCTCTGAATTCCAGGGCAGACTGGTCTACAGTGAGTTATAGGACAGCCAGGGCTACACAGAGAGACTGTAGTCCGATACTAAAACCACCACCACCACCACCAAAACATAAAATAACAACAACAACAACCCTCCCTCAAATAAACAATAACAAAAACGATGGTTTGGACTGATTTCCCAGTTCTCCCCTCCTTTACTTTTACTGGGCCTTTCTTTTTTCTTGACCCTTTTTTTCCGTGTTTTATGGAACTTTGTTATTTACAGCTTCTTCTGCAGGGGAGCCTTTCATTGGCAGGGGCGTGTTACAGGCTGCTGTTAGGCCTCCTAACTGGCCAGAGTGTGTCTGCTTTTTTATCCTTACTCCATCTACCCTGTCTGCCCCTCCAAACCCCCCCCCCCCCCTTCTTTAACACCTCAGCCCAGCCTCTCCTGTCGGGAGTTCTTCCTGATTGTACCACTTTCCCAGCGCTGCTTTCCTCCCAGCACCCTGGTTGATGGGAAACTGTCCTGTCCTTGCAGAATTCATGTAAACATTTGTGTTCGTTTTGTTGGGATGTCAGCAGGAGTTTGTTTGGACTTACTATTGATCTATTTTTATGTGAGGAATGTCTGCAAACTCTGCTGTCCCTGGAGCCAACCTCTCAATATACCTGGTGTGTTAGTTTTTATTGAAATGCCTTTTTATTTAGCCCCTGGACCACAAATGCTAATTCCTAAATTGTCATGTGCTATCTGTCATGCCTGCCAGCATTCCAGCATAAAGCTACACTGGAGAAGCTAGGTACAAAACCCAAGGCAGACTCAGACAAAGGAATACTTTATCTGTTCACCATCTCTGTCCTTTAAAGGCCCAGCTCAATCCAGGTCAGAGCCTGTACACCACTTTCTGTGTCAGGGTTGAGTTTTTACAAGAAGCCTTCCTGTTTTCTCAGGGATACACAGAGTAAGACTGACAGGGGATGAGACTGTGCCCTTTCCAGTACTGGCCCCTTGGCAGCAGGTTTCTATTAGAACTTTGTTATAGAGTATCCAAAATATAGAAGCTTAAAATAGTTAACTTTTCAGGGAAATTTTACATTGAGCCAAGGGAGCAGTTGTGTCAGCCTTGAATATTTGAAAAAAATGTATTATTGTTCCTTTTAAATATATTCATCAAACAATTAGAACTTGAAATTTTCAGTTTTCAAATATGTGCATACACCATTGTAAATTCCACGGTGATTTTGGTGTATGTACATACGCTAATATTTGTGAATATAATTGTATGCTTCAAGCAGGAAAAAAACCTCTTTAAGATATATTAATTAGGCCGGGCGTTGGTGGCACACGCCTTTAATACCAGCACTCGGGAGGCAGAGGCAGGCGGATCTCTGTGAGTTCGAGGCCAGCCTGGTCTACAAAGTGAGTTCCAGGACAGCCTCCAAAGCTACAGAGAAACCCTGTCTCGAAAAAACAAAACAAACAAACAAAAACCAAGATATATTAATTAAAGCTATCTTCTATGTTTTGTGTAAATACATCAAGTATCATAACACTAGGAAGTGATACTTTAGAATATAGGTAACACCAAACAAAATAACATTAACTTGACAAAGCAAAGCTTTACTTTTGGCTTCAGGAATATCTAGGAACAAAGTGCTGCTGTTGCCACCCTTTTGAGCCTTGGGATCCCTTGAAGTGCCTCGTAGAGTTTAGACTGTGAGGACTGCTGCTTCATGGAGGACCCTGTGGAATGCATTTGGGCCCTGAGATGAGATAGAAGCCTCCAACTGTGCAGACGTTATGTAGTACTCTGCAGGACAGGCAGAGAAGCTAAGAACCTCTTTTCTAGAGTTTGATTTGAAATGGAACTGCCAGGTACTGATCTCTTTGTGGCATTGGGTTCCATTTTCTTGGGCATTGTTTCGTTGTATGTTCCATCAATTTCTTACTGCCAAGTATAACTCTTGCCGGTTTTCCCTTGACATAGAGCTGGACAGTGATTTCCTGATCTTCTCTCCTGGTTTCTCCCTCGTTGTAGCATGTGAGTCTCCACCAGGTGGCTTGTATTGTGCAGTAAGTGCTGAGAGTTGGCTTTCAGTGCTTTCTTTTGAAAAAGGAAGACACAGGATTAGGGAAATTATCTTGGTCAGTGTTTTATGATCCTTGTTTGGCACTAGTGGGTGGACAGGTTGGCTGTGTATTTGTGCAGCTCTGGTGGCTCCCCCTGTGTAATCCTGGTAAGTGCACAAGCAGCAACACTGTCACAGAGAGGCCTAGCTTTGTGCTTGATGGTGCTTTGATCTGAGGGCTCCAAGCAAGGGCCTCAAGATAGGTTTCTTTGTTCTCAAGAATTAGAAAATGAATAGGTCCTGGACTATTCCCCTGAGTGTGGACACTTAGCAAAAGCAGAGACTCTTCTGGGTCTGAGGCTTGGCTTCTTTGTTAATGGCCTTAAAAAAACTGTCCTTTACATGTATTTACTATTTTTCCTATGAAAGATCCTTTATTGTTTTGTATTTTAACACAAGGGGCAGATGTCTCTAGCTTTGAACTGGGCTTTGCTGCATGTCTTCTCTGCCGAATGTTCTTTCAGCTTGGGCAGCTCTCTTTGTTAAAAGGCCAAACCCCTTGGTGAGATGTTCTGGGAAAGAGGACCCCTTGATATTTGAAAGGTGAGAAATCCATTTAAACCATGTGATGGCTTCCAACAGCCCTACTGCTGGCTTCTGCTTGTTTTAATGTAAGTGATAGATGCTCTGGCTGGCTGTATTCAGTAATTGGATGTGAACTCTGTAATATAAGTGACATTTCATGGCAAATGTGAAGGCTCTGTGGATGGCATTCAGTTTCAGTGTTGCCTGCCTTTAGTTTTAAAGGTAGAAGACCATACAGAATTTAATTACTGGAGCATATATTCAAAGATTAGTTCAATCCATTTGTAATACCTTTAGCTGTTAGGTAACTGTTTGGTTATTGTGCATGACAGCGAGCATGTGATTTATAATGCCAGCGTGTGCAGTGCAGGCATAGAAATGCTAATCGGGCTGTGTGTTAAGAGGACAGCCGTCAATATAGTCAGCAGTCTGCTGCCTGCCATGGAGCCCTCCTGCACAGACATACCTGCAATAAAGAAGAGTTTGTGCAGATAGCAAACAGACAGAAGACTGCCATGATGACAATAGTTAGTGCTCCTTGCTTGCTTTCAGGAAGGTTACAATTGCACCCTATTAATGACTTCCCTGTCTCCAGTGTGCACTCAGCCTGCCTGGAAGTACAGTGTTAACACGAGACTGGGGCAATTCAGATTTCTTTTCAGAGGTCTTGTTTGATTTTTGTTTTTTGTTTGTGTTGTTTTTTTTCCCCCTGAGACAAGATTTCTCTGTGTAGCCATGGTTGTCCTGGAACTCAGTCTGCAGACCAAGCTGGCCTTGAATTCACAGAAATTCACCTGTCTCTGCCTCCCCAGTGCCAGGATTAAAGGCATGCACCACCCCCACCCCTACCCCTGGCTGGAACTTCTTTCATAGGGTAGTTTTGAGTAGCATGCCTTCCTCTGTAAAAGAATCTTTACATCCCATCATTAGAGGTGCTATGTGTCCCCTTTACATTCATAGAAAGTTTGGGTATTTTAGAGGTAACATTCCCCGTGAGAAGTAATAGAACGTAGATGGGGACAAAGACGTGTAGCTTTCTTTTACAAGCTGCTTAGAGTGTGTTGTGTTTTTAGAGTGTGCTGTGCAGGTGTGTGCTGTGCAGGCCAGAGGTCAACACTGGGTGTCCTTATCATTGCACCTTACCTTTTGAGACAAGAGTCTCACTGAACTTAGACTGGCTGATCCTCCTGTCTTCACTTGGCCATCACTGGCATTTTGTGCACATGCTACCAAACAAACCCTTATTCTTTTCATGGGTTCTGCAGTTCTGAACTCAGGTCATCATGCACGTGTGGCACTGAGCCCTAGTCTCTGGAAAAACTGCCAGATTTTTGACACTGACCTGCGATTATACAGGCTTGTTCTTATTTAATTTTATGAAATAACAGCATAAGGGGTTTAAGTTTTGACTGTTACACCCTGCCTGTTATCTATTAGATGGACAGCTATATTGAAAGTACCAGGAGAAACATACCCAGGTAAGGGGAAAAGAGAGAACAAAGACCTTTGACTGAAGCAAAACAGCCTGGGATGGATGGATGGATGGATGATGGATGGATGATGGATGGATGGATGGATGGATGGATGGATGGATGGATGGATGAATGAGTGGATGAATGAGTGGATGGGTGGATGGGTGGATTTAGTTTGAGGACCCATGAGATGACTCAGCAAATAGAGAGGTTCCTGGTATCAGCC